ATCCATCGACTTTCCAGGCTCGGTATGTGTTCCAGCAGCCGCGCCTCGCCAAGGGCGTTCGGGGGGTGCCCGGACCGTCGCGAGCGGCCGCCAGAGAGCCCGAGTCATGACTCGAAAGCGAGGGGGCAACGTTAGGGGTGGAAATGCTCAGAGGGGCATGCATCGACCCCGGATCGTCCACTCATCACCGATAGGGGCCCGATAGCCCAGCCCGCCCAGGAGCGTACGGTTTTGCTGTCGGGGGCCTATTGCCAATCTATCGGCGATGTATCGCCGATTTCAGTTCGCTGCTTCCTCTCCCGGGCCAGTCCCCCCCTGTTGCTCCACCTCAGGTCGGCGGGCGACCTGCAGTACCTGGGAAGCTGGCAGCAGGTCCCGCCCAGTATGCCCAGCGACGCCCGAAAGATGAGGGAAGGAGGAGGAGGGACAAGAGGAGGAGGAGAAGGAGGAGGAGGAGGAGGAGGAGGAGAAATGGAATGGAATGGCATGGCATGGCATGGAATGGAATGGAATGGAATGGATGAGGCCCTAAGGAGGGAAGGCGACGAGTCGCCTCAGAACAGAAACGCTGTGGCGACGAGTGCAACCCCAGGACACCACACCGGCCAGACCTGCCCCCTAGGCACCTGCTGCCTGAGGCCAGCAGGAAGCTGGGGGCCACGCCCACCACCCGCACAGGCCCGCAGGCCAGGCGGCAAGAAGCCCACGCCAGCCGCAGGCCACGCGGGGCCGACGACCGCCAGTTTCCCGAGCCGCGCCCGAGGCCCCGCCCGCCCGGCCCTCACCACACGACGCTCACGGCGTGCGGAGCGCCTGCCCTGCACCCGGTCGGCGCTCTCCATGATGCGGCGCAGGCCTGCCACGGAGGCCCCAAACCGCACCGCCACCCGCGCCAGCGCGTCCTCGTGCGCGGGGGACCCCGCCGCGAGGCCATCGACGGCCGCCCTGAGGACCTCCAGCTTGCCGATGATGTCCTCCATGGAGCCGCCGCCGCCCGCCGCCACGCCAGCGGGCCCCTCTGGACGCCCAGCTCGGCCAGCCGCCGCCACAGCCGCAGGCGCCGCGGCTGGCTCCGCCGCCGTCCCGACCGCCGAAGGCCGCGCGGGGAGCGCATCGGCCCAGCTGTCGTCTTCCAGGGGCGAGTTCTGGGCCACACCGCCCTCGGCCTGCGAGCCCCCGCCCCCGACCGCCGCCGCCGCCCCAGCCGCCGCCACCTCCGCCACCAAGGCGCCGAGAGGAGCCGCGGGCTCGACCGGCACGCCAGCCGCACGGCGGTTCCTGGCGCGACGCCACCGCCGTGGCCGAGGGCCATGAGGCGGCGCGGCAGCCGTGGGAGCGCCAGGCAGCCCTGCGCCTCCACCGCACCACAACGAACATCTCTTGGGGGCACAGGCGCTGAGGACAGCCGCCGCAGCCCTCAGGAGTCCCTCGGCCGCCTGCACCAGGCGCAGAGCCTCGCGGCTCTCGCCAGCGTAGAGGCCCGCAGCAGCATGCGCCGCCAGCCAGGAGCCGCGAGCCGCCTCGAGAGCAGCGCGGCGCGTCACCAGCTTCAGCATGGCACTCAGCGAGCGGGGACCGCCCAGCGATGCGAAACGAAGCCAACGTGGCGACGAGGAGGAGGAGGAGGAGGAGGAGGAGGAGGAGGAGGAGGAGGAGGAGGAGGAGGAGGAGGAGGAGGGGAGGAGGAGGAGGGGGAGGGGAGGAGGAGGAGGAGGAGGAGGAGGAGGAGGAGGAGGAGGGAAGGAAGGAGGAGGAGGAGGAGAAGGAGGAGGTGGAGGAGGAAGAGGAGGAGGCTCCGCTGGCAGCAGGTCCCGCCCAAGCTGCCCAACGGCGCGCTCGGCCCCGTGTCCTACGACGCCCGCGCGCCAGTGCCAAAGGACTGGAAGTTGCGCGGTAGTGGCATGCACGGCCCCGAGAACGGCGAGGTTCACTTACGCGTAAGAGTGACCCTTCGGCGGAGTGGTCTTTGATGCGCAGCCACAGGGGTGGCCCTACGTAGCACTGGCCTGCGCACTTGAATCTGGCCCCGGCGCGGCCCCCGAAAGCCGCGCACCAAAGGTCATTCCTATCCAGGGTCACTCTTGCGTGCTGGCGAGAGGTCATGAAGCTCGTGCTCTGGAACAGGCTCAAGCAGCGACGGCCGCAGCGGGGCGAGGCCTCCCTGGCCGACATGCAGGACCAGAGGGGTTCCAGTTGAGACAGCGGTAGTTGGCCTTCGGGAGGCGGCTGGATGCAGCTCGGCAAACTGTTGCGTTTGGACCCCGGGAGAGGTCCGGGTATCGTTTCTGAGCCACCGTTGTCTCAACTCGCCCTGTTCCGACAGGAGTTCTACCGCATGGAGGTGGCCATCGTCTGGTGGATGTTCGGCCTCGTCTTCTTCATGGCGCCGCTCAACTGGTGGGGCAAAAAGTACCGCATCGTCCACGACCACTACCCCTGGGCGCCCAAGCGCCACGACGGAACCCGCGGCGTTGGTCCTTACTGTTGGTTCCTGGAGTGAGTGCGGCGGCCGAGGGCTCTGCCGGGCCCGATCTGGGGAGGGCCGTCGCCCTCGCCCTCTCCGTGGAGTGCGCGGGCGAGTACGACAGAAAGTTTGCCTGGTCCTCGTCCTCGTCGTCGTCCCCTCTTTTTGGTTTTCCCGGTCCTCCTCCGCCTCCTGCCTTCTGGTTGCCTCTCTCGCTTCTATGCCTCCCCTCCCGCTCCGTCCACTCCTGCTTCCCCCCAGAGGAAAAGCAGGAGAGGGTGGAAGAGGAGGAGGAGGAGGAGGAGGAGGAGGAGGAGGAGGAGGAGGAGGAGGAGAGGAGGAGGAGGAGCAGGATTGGCTGCGGCGGCCTCCCCCTCTTTGGAAAGGGTCCCCCAGTGGCGTCCCGGGGCCCCCGCACTCGCGCTGGTCGGCCGCCCGCCCCAGCCAGTGGGGGGCCGCGGGCGCACGAGCGTGGATCGGGGACGGTCGATGCTGCTACGTAAGGAGCAGGAGGAGGAGGGGAACGAGGAGGAGGAGGAGGAGGAGGAGGAGGAGGAGGAGGAGGAGGAGCAGGGGGAGGAGGGGGAGGAGGGGGAGGAGGAGGAGGAGGAGGAGGAGGGAGGAGGAGGAGGAGAGGAGGAGGAGGAGGAGGAGGAGGAGGAGGGGGAGGGGGAGGGGGAGGAGGAGGAGGAGGGAGGGGAGGGGGAGGGGGACAAGCTAGGTGCGCTCGCGTCATATCTGACGTCCTACCCCTCCCTCCCATCCCTTACCATGGCGCTGATTTTCTCTATCCGCGGACGCGTGTCGTAGCGGACCTGTGGCTCCGCGCGCGCGTGCGCAGTGGGTGGTGGTGCGCGTGCGTGCGTGCGTGCGTGTGTGCGTGGTGGTGGTGGTGGTGGTGGTGGTGGTGGTGGTGGTGGTGGTGGTGGTGGTGGGGTGGTGGTGGTGGTGGTGGTGGTGGTGGTGGTGGTGGTGGTGGTGGTGGTGGTGTGTGGTGGTGGTGGGTGGTGTGGTGGTGTGGTGGTGGTGGTGGTGGTGGTGGTGGTGGTGGTGGTGTGGTGGTGGTGGTGGTGGTGGTGGTGGTGGTGGTGGTGGTGGTGGTGGTGGTGGTGGTGCGGCGCGGTGGTGGCGGGCGGATGGGCGCGCGAGAAAGAGGCCCGCGCTGGGGCGAGAACGCCATCCTGAACGACGGAGGCCAAACACCGATCCGAAAATGAGGCCCACGCTGCAGCGGGAGCACGATTCGGAACGATTCGGGAGCAGGAATGAGGCCGCCGCCTCAGCGAGAGCAGCATTTTGAAAAAAACGCAGGCGAAAACCCGACTCCCGGGAATCCTGTGTGTAAAAAAACAGTACGCGGGGGGGGGGGGGGGTCGGCCACTCCCAGCACGCCATCAGGGGAAGAGGGAGAGTAGTATTCATATTGAGTAATTGTGGAGGGGGAGGGGGAGGGGGAGGGGGGAGGGAGGGGGAGGGGGAGGGAGCGGCGTTTTCCACCAGCCCAGCGTGTGACACGTGTGCAATGCCAGCTCTTGGCAGCAAGGCGAACCGTGGCCGTTGCAGATTTCTGCCACTCAGCATGCACCACGCTCATCTTCCGCCTCATCCTCCTCATCATCCTCCTCTCCCTGCACCCTGCAAACCTTGCCGTCGCTATCCTCCCTCTCCTCGCCTTCCCCCCCCCTCCGTCACATCCGCTGCCCCCAGGCCCCACCCGACTTGGGCGCAGTGGTGCCCTTCGCCAACCTGGAGGGAGTCCCCATCCATTGGCGCTCCAGGGAAGAAACACAATGATCATGACCAAGATGTCGCGAGATCCTGTCAATGTCGATCCTGATCATGGTCCATGCCGGCCGCCGTCAGTTCGCGAGGATGATCTACGAATTGACGATGACCCAGATGGACGGTGACGATCGACACCGACATGTCCGCGTTCATTTTCGGTTAGAGGGCACGTTTCCAGAGGAGGAAAAGAGATCGATTCCGTTGATCCTCCTGGAGAGTTCTCGTCACTGGAGCGGGATTCTCTTCGAAATCCTGGTCAGACAGGAAAACGGGAGAGGTGCGGGGGAGCAGCGGTCTCGGTACCTGTTGGTTCCCCCGTTTGTCAAAAGTCTTGGCCACGGCCATCGTGCTCCGCCTTTCCTCGGACGGGGGTAGGACGAGGATAATTCCGTTCCAGAGCGTTCCGGAACGCTCTCAGAGCTTTCCGGAACTCTCTGAGAAGGCCGCGGCGCCCGATCTCAGAGATTGTCGATTTATCATCGCCCGGATTTTCCCTCGTCCTGGCTTCGTCTTACCCTCGAGGCACGCCTTCATCTGGCTGTCCGTCCTCGCCTGTCTGTCGCTGGTCTCGATCACCGGCTACTGCTGCCTGGCGTACCGCCCCGAGCAGAGCGCCTTCCCGCTGGGGTCCGCGCTCACGTCCCCGGAGAAGTCGTCCGCGCAGGCGATGGGTCTGGGGCTCGTAGAGGGTTTTGTTCATGTGAGTAAACATCGGCGTATGCTAAGTCCATACGTACTGAGTATATGTCCATACGGAATGCTCGATCTCCATCTGGGCTTACCCCGTCTGGACAAAGCTTCTCCTGATAGGGGTTCGTAGAGGAGGAATGTCCATGAGAGCAAAAAGAACCACCATCACCAGAACTCCACAGAACTCCTTGAGGGATTCGTAGAGGGGGGTAACCCATGACTCATGAACTACCCTCCCTTTACTCATGTGGGCCTCAGCACTCTAGTCCACACGTAGAACGTTCCCAAAAGTGCCGTGCGATTGTGCCTGTGTTTCCACATTTGTTTTAAACACATACACATAAGTTTGCTTCCAAGGCGGCTGTGGCGTTCGGCGCAGCCCAAGGTCGGAGAAGGGGCACATGCATCTACGGTATGCTTCTAATCTAGAGCAGGTCCCCCATGGTTGTCCAAGTCATGAGAGCAGGAAGAAAAACACCACCAGAACTCCAATAGAACTCCGTTCCCAATGGCCATCCCCCGAGCTGGTGTCACCCCCTTCCGGGCACACTGGGGGTGGAGGGCGCGCCCAGAACGGGGTGCTACCAGCTCGGGGGGGGGGCAGCGGCCGGCCCCCATAGCTGGTGGTGGTTCTTTATTCTCTGGTGCGTCATCCCAAGGTGGGTGGGGGAACGAGCCCAGTTGGACACTCACGTCTCGTTCTTCCAAGCATGGATTAGTGGCGAGTCCCGTTTCCTCACGGAGTTGGCACGCCCCGTCGCCGGATCGGGCGGCACTGACGCCATATTTTGAGTGGCATTTTCCCCGATCCGTGGATCTGGCGCCCACTCGACAGATCCATGGATCCCTAATCCATGTTAGCGTGCGCTCGATTCTTCCATCTTCCAGGGGCCGTCTGGAGAGGCTTTTCTCCAGCCCCACCTCTCTGCCCCTGCCTGGCCTTCACGTCCCGCCGAGTCGGGCGTCTCGCAACGGAGGGGGGGGGGCGCGATGACAAAGGGGGGAGGGGGGGAAGAGACGAGGACGAGAACGAGTAGGAGGCGGAGGAGGAGGAGGAGGGGGAGGAGGGAGGAGGACGAACATGAGGAGGAGGAGGAGGAGGAGGAGAGAGGAGGAACATGAGGAGGGGGGGGAGAGAGAGGAGGAGGAAAGGAGGAGGAAGGAAAGGCGGATTGCAAGAAAGGGGGGAGAAGGAGGGAGGAGGAGGAGGAGGAGGAGGAGGAGGAGGAGGAGGAGGAGGAGGAGGATGAGGAGGAGGAGGAGGAGGAGGAGGAGGAGAGGGAGGAGGAGGAGGAGGCTGGGGGATCGAGTGCGGCAGGAGAGGGGCCCGAAACGTGCCCCAACAGAGGGGGCCCCCGGGGGCCCCGAGGGTGTGCGAAAGGTGCACCCTGCTTCGCCACCCCCGTCTGTGGCCGGCGGCGCGCACCAGGGGGGCGGCGAGAGGGGAGCGGCCTTCCGAGAAGGCGGGACGCTTCCTAAGAAGGCGGGGGCCCTTCTCAGAAGGGCCCGGGGTCTTCCAGGATGCCTCGCCGGGGAGGAAGGGACGAGGGCGGTCCCGCGGCAGGACAGCCTGCTGACTCCACAGTCGCATCTCCAACGTTGGCATCGCGACATTGGGGTCTCGGCGGCAAATAAAGGCCCTGCCTTACCCCCCCCACCACCTTGTCAGAAGGCCACCCCGCTTGCGCCAAGTGAGCAACGCCCGAGGCCACCCGCATTAAGCAACGCCCGAGGCAACACCGCCGAGGTCCCCTGTCGGAAGCAGGGAGGCTTCTGGAAGCTGCGCGGCGTCCACATCCTCTCGCGGCAGCACCAGCACGCCACCGTTCGACGAGCCTGGGCGGGCGGACGACCTCGTGAACGAGGCGGGGCTGCACGTGGCAGGACTCGAGGAGGAGGAGGAGGAGGAGGAGGAGGAGGAGGAGGTGGAGGAGGAGGAGGGCAGGAAGGGAGGAAGGAAGGAAGGAGGAGATGCGCGGCGCTGCGGGTTCAAATGCATGATTCAACTCACAGGAGGGTTGCGACAAATGGCACAAACATGCACTTTCGGTCCTCTGCGCGGATTTCTCGGACCGGCGCTGAAGCCCCCCTGGCAGCGACTCCGGCGCCGCCCCTGCCGCGCTCCGCGCGCAGGGGAGGTGGGTTCGAGCGCCGATCCCAAGAAATTCGAGTAGAGCCCCAACAAGTTTATGTTGGTGCCTTTTTTGTTCCTCAAAGGACAGCTCTCAGTCCCGCGGAGGAAGACGGTGCAGGGCTGCAGCTTCGACGACGACGTCACGGTCGAGTCGCGGAGGGGCGTGTCGGACGACGTCGTGGCGGCGCGGAGAAAGAGCAGGACCTCAGGGGCAACGTTAGAACCGTTAGGGGGGGGATAGGTTGAGGAAGGAGTGCATCGACCCCCAATCGCCCACTGATCGCCGATAGGGGCCCGATAACCCACCCCGCCCAAGACCATGTGGACTCGTTATTGGGGTGAATCGCCGATCTATCGGCGATGTATCGCCGATTCGTGCTCGATGCCATCCCCCTTCTGAGGTGGTTCCCCCTCGAGCGTTGTCCCT